TCTCAAAATATAAAACTTCACATCTTCAAATATATTTAAGATGATTAACTACAGACTGATGTTATGGTCACAAATATTTAAGGATGAAATACTTTGTTAAAATTTTTCTAAATTTGGGCCCTTCCTGGTGGCTCAGCGGGTTAAAGCACTGCACTAAGAAGCTAAAACCACTTCCGCATGAGTTCGATCCCCCGCCTGCCCCAGAGAAGGATCCACATGGCGCCGTAGACCTCTCCTGACCCGCCCGCTGCTCCCCTCAGCAGTATACTTCATTGATCTGCCTGTTCTGCTCCCCACTCTGTCTCTGGTGAAACCTCTCACTCTCCGCATGTCTGGCCTGTACCCCCCCAGTTCTGTATAAATAAGTAAATAAATCTTTAAAAAAATTTTTTTTTTCTAAATTTGACTTATTAGTTATCTACTAACAGCAAACAAAAGACTCCCAAACACAGCAGCTTAAAAACAACACCCTTATTTTGCACACAGTTGCTGAGGGTTAGAATCAGGCATTGCTTAGCTAGTCCTAGGCTCAGGGTCTTTCACAAGGTTGTAATCAAGGTGGCAGCCAGAGCTACAGTTACCTTAATAATTTTTTTTTCTAAAGATTTATTTATTTGTGCATACAGAACTGGGGTACAGGCCAGAGGTTCAGGGGCGGCGAGAGACTTCACCAGAGACAGAGTGGGGAACAGAACAGGCAGATCTAGGAAGTCACTGCTGAGGGGAGCAGTGGGTGGGTCAGGAGAGGTCTGCCGCGCCATGTGGTCACCTTCAGGGCAGGCGGGAATGGAACTCATGCAGAAGTGGCTTTAGCTTCTCAGTGCTGTGCTTTAACCCGCTGCGCCACCAGGGAGGGCCACCTTAATATTTAACTGGAGTAAGATCTTCCAACTTCATTCAGAGGTTGCTGGAAGGGGGTAACTGTCTAGGTGATGGGGCTGGAGTCTCAGTTCTTCACTAGCTATTGGCCAAAGGTCACTCTCAATTTCTTGATAAACAGCCCTATTAATAAATCAGCTCAGAATATGCCAGCTGGTTTCATCAAAGGGAACAAGCAAAAGAACTGCCAGAAAAAAAGAAAATCATAATCTTTTGTAAACTAATTTCAAAAATGACATCCTACTACTTTTGCCACATTTTTATTGGAAGGGAGTCTCTACCTCCAGGGAGGGGATTAGAGACTGTGAATACCAGGGTAATCTAGAACACAGCCTATCACCAGTAGCATAACGGAAAGAGCAACTAGAATGGAAGTCAGGAAACTGGATCCAAATAACTATGTGACTAAATACAATCTCTCAAAACCTGTAGTGTTTTCATTGAACATACTAAGCGCATAGCCTAAATGACCTCTAAGGGCATTTAAATTCTAAATTCTGTTCTTTCTACTGTCTTTGGAAAAGATTACCAAGGATTAAAGGAAGACTTCAAAATGTATCATTTTACAAAAAAAGAGTCGCTTTCAAGTAGGGTAACACAAACAGGTGGTTAAGTCACACTTACTCTGCTGTTATGCTCAGTATCTTTGCACAACAGTGCACTGCTTTTGGAATTAATTAAGGCTCTGAGAAACCCAATCCACTCTTTATAATCATCTCAAAATCCAATAAACTCAAAAGGAAGAGAAAATAATAATATAGAACTAACATTAGAAGCAAGCATTGGTTAATAGGCATTATCTCTTTTGCTCTCATCAGCTCTCTCTCCATGTGGGTTCTCCCTGTGGTGGCACTAGACATGAAAGTGAGTTGTCCTTTGACTATCCCCAGTCCCAGGCGTGTGGGCATATTTATAAAACTACTGGCTAGTAATCACAACAGAGAAATATAGTGACTCAAAGCAAAGTAAACAATATTAAATGTAACCTAAATGAAGTATCTCAAAATAGAAACTGCAATCAAAAACTAAGGGTGGTCCCCCTTGGAGTCCTGGAAAATGGAGAGTTCCAGAGATCAACCACAGCAAGTGGATGCATGCAATGTTCAGGGAAGAAGATATTCTGGGCAGCTAACAAAACCTATGCTAGACAGATACAGTCTTATTAATACAAAAGCATCAGTTAAAAGTCCAGTACCACTAAACATTTGTATTACATAAATACCCTATATGCTCCTATGTGGGCTTGGGGGGAGAGATGTGAGTCACAGGTCAGAGAATCACTCCACTGGCATATACCAGGTATAGTAATTTATGATGATTCCACTTTTGGTTCAAGAAGTGCAATGAAAAAACTGCATGTAAGCGACTGTTTTGTGGAGAAATTATAAAGTAGGAAGATGCTTGTATCAGTAAAATATGTGTGTATGGGTGTGTGTTGTATGTGTGTACAGAAATGCAAAATTTCTATATAAGAAGATTTAAGAATAGCAATGAGATAGTGGTAGAAGCTGGGGCCTACAAGCTTATCTTAAATCTGAATTTACCTAATAATAAAGTAAGATTGAAAATCAATTATCCATTATCAAAACTCACATAATGGTGAAAAACCCTGGCCTTGCATTAGTATTGACATAGGTAAAAAATATTAACATCGTTGAAATAGCATTTCAGGAGTTTTTGATGGTACTAAGTAAAAGGTAGGAGCCACAAAGTAAGAGATTAACTGGATAGACCAGTGGGGCACTTTAGGGGAGAAATCTTCAAGGTCCAAGCCACTCACTGTTTGTTTCCCATATTATGAGCATATTCAATCAGGTTATCAATTTCAATCAAGCCAGCCCAAGTTGGAAGAGTTCAAACAACAATTTGCATCAAGTATTACAAAAAGTAATGTAAGCTTTTTTAAAATACTTTTTTTTACTCAATGTGTCCAGAACTATCTGGATATTCAACCCTCTCCAAACCCTTTGTGCAATATCAAAGAATATCTATCTTTCCTTTCTTTTCTCACTTTTTACTCCTTTTAGTTTTAAAGGGATAGAAGAAAGTAGGAGCTATAGGAGAAGTAAGCATTCTCCTACAGGTCTCTAAGTAGTCATGAATTAAAACTGTTAAAAAGTAAAGACAGTATGTTCAGAGATTCAGAATTTTACCCAAAAGCTCAATAGCAAATGCAATCAAATATCAATATGTACTCACAATTCTTCAAGACAGCCCATCTCAGTTAAACAACAATGGACAAAAGTTTGAACAATCAATACTTACCAGTCATTTTTGTACACATGAGCTGTTAGTTAACTATGAAACAAATGAGAGAAATGGGGAGGAAAAGTAAGAAAAGAGGGAAGGGATACAACAGAGATGGAATAAGGCCCACAAAGTCTAAAACACTGGCAGGCCTCACCTCACAGTGCACTGTGTTAACAGGAACATTTATGATCAGGTCTTTTACAGTAATTTGTGATGACAGTGAAAATACAGGATATCCAAATGGCCAATACCATATGAAGAGGTGTTAAATAGTGCCAGTCATTAGGAAAATTAAGGGAAAACCCAATGCAACATTACCACATATCCAACAGCACGGCTAAAGTGACAAAGACAGTACGAAGTGTTGCAAGCATTTGGATAGCCACAATCTCAAACACGACTTAGAGGAGCACTGACAAACTAACTGGAACAACTTTTTGGTAGATTATATCAGAGGTACATATCTGAATAGCCTATAATTGTCATCTTACTAGTAGGTACATGCCTACTAGTAAAAATGTGTAGATATGTTCACCAAAATACTGACAAAAATGTTCAGAGAAGCCCTATCAGTTAACAGTCAAAACCTGGTTGGAATACTATATAAAATGAGAACAAACCGCTACACACTTGCATGGCTCTCACAAATAACGGAGTCATAAGGGACTATGTACTATATATGATTCTACTTACTATGTAAGGCAAGAGTCATGTTCATACATGATATTAGAAATCAAGGCCATGGTTACTTTTTGAAAGGGGTCACAAAATGGGGATCTAGCGTGCAGATCATGCTCTTTCTTGATCTAAGTTCTGCCTGTATAGGAAGGAATGCAAACTTTGAAAATTCAATAAGTTGTACACATGATTCAAGCACTTTTCTGCATGTTTCTTGTACTTTTAAGAATGAACTCACTAAAAAGGTTGAAGGTAAACTGGCGTATCTTCCATATACTTTCTGACTTGCCATCGTTATTATCGCCAATTGTACCAATTAAGATATTTTTCACCAATAATTTAATTCCCATTATTATATATAGAAAAATCAGCTTCTTAAAAGTTTCTTGTTCTATTACTATCACATAGGATACCCAAGTGAGTATGTAATTTTCATTGCCATTTTAAGTTAGTTCCACTATAGATCTCAAGGAGAAACGTTGAAAAGCTGGTAATTAATGACAGTATGTTAGTTACCTGGGAAAGAAGGGGAAAAACTCCTTAAAATGTAGACCTGTTTAGCCCTTTATTTTGTCTGGCATTTTACTAGTCATACTGACTGCCTTTGCATAAACTGTTCAAAGGAGCCTTTCAAAAAGCCAACTCTTAAGGAATGTTGTCAGCTTTTTACCGCCTTATCTAGTAATGCTGCTCTCTTGTGTTTATCCAGTTTCTTCCATCCACGCTGCTTAAAGTACATCGCAAATGCTGCTGGTTGAGCTCACCTCCAGAGTAAAGTCAGTCGGACTCAGACTTTGAGAACCCAAAAGTGGTTCAGCGTGCCTAAAGAAGTGGCTGAAACTTACCAGTCTGAGGGCTTAAAACTAGAATGATAAAGTGACTCTCAAGGGCAAAGAATCAACCGTGGCCAGAACCTGAACCCTGTAACTCACCGCTACTTTGCTGAACTCATACAACAGACAGCAGGGAGGATGCCAAAACCACGCTCAGAAAGAGAATCCGAGGATCCCCCGGACTCTAACCTTGTAGCGATCTCCCTCGTTCCCTACAGCAGGGAGCCAATACCACAGTGCGCAAATTACACACGGCCCCTTGCACAACTGCGAGGAAGCTGCGCCCGGAAATGCCAAGGCTGCTGGACGCTTACTCCCACTTCTCTTAGGTAGCCCAAACCTTCCAGCCCACCCGTGTACCTGACTGCGCCCGGCACCGCCCCAGGCGCCCGCTCCGCTCGCCAGCCCAGGGTGTCGGAGAACCGACGTGAAACCACCGCGCCAGCCAATCGCCGACTGCCGGGCGCCTCCCGGGACTCCCCCGAGGAGGTGGGGCGCGCCGGCAAACAACTCCTCTGGGCGCGACGGGCGAGGGGGGCAGCTGCGCGCCGCGCGCGAGGCCCACAGGGAACGGAGGCGGGTCGGGGGCCGGCGGCACGGGGCATGCGCGGGCCTCGCCGCGGGGCCGCGGGGCGGGGCCTGTGGCCTGGGGGAGAACTTGGGAAGTCGACTCCGGAGTTTGGAGAAGAAAAGCGCTCCCAGACTGTCTTCCCGGACACTCCAAACGGGCGCCGCGGCGATCGGGTGGAGCACGACGGGCGCTTTGTGCGAGATCAAAACACTGTGTGCGCGGAGCCGCGTCTGGTTAAAAGAGGGAGATAGATGCGTGGATTTCCATCACTTAAGGCCTAGAGTTGAGGGTTTTGGAGGTGCCGCAGGGTTGCGGAATTGTGGATTCCTGTTTGGTTTGTGTGGAGTTGGGGGGTAAGCGGGGGCAATAGAGAGTGCGAAGTGATGGTTGATGAAAAGGGTTGACGTTGGACCTCCTTTGTGTAGCAAAAAAAGCAACCCCCAGCTTTTGGCCAAGGAATGCTTGAGACTAAAACTTGGAATTGGTAACCTTTTGACATAACTCCTAGAAAGCTATCCGCATGCTTTCGTTCAGTATATGAATAAGGCAGAATACTGAACCTTTCAGAATTAAACGATAAAGTTCTTAGTCATGTACGTCTTTGTTGAAACAAGAACAGGTGCGTTAACTAGCTGTTTAGTACTTCGAATGTCGTTTTCTTGATCCACAGATCAAGAAAACTTTTATAAATATCAAATGATCTTTTTCAGACACCAAATGTTTCATTTACGCGTCCAGACAACAAGTATTTCTTGAACACATTCTACATGCATGTACTCTCTCGGGTGCTGGATAGTAAGCAATTATAATTACCCACCCGCCCCCTACATCTCCAGAGAATAGGAATAATGTGAAGTGTTGACCGTTTTCCAAGTTAGTGGTTAAGTTTAATTAGAGGAACTTAAACTTTAATAAGTGTAAAAAGAACGAAAAAGGGATTCTAATATCCAGCAAATTCTTGGTTACTGTGTGGTAATGCGTGCGAAGTGCTCCAAAGAGGTTTGTTAAAGATTCAGCTTTGAGATATATTTTGAATTTACGTCAGTCAAGATCTGATCTGATATTTATGGACATAAATTTAAAAAAAAAAGGATGAAAAAAGAGGTGTGGTTTTACAGGGGTAGAATGGGGAATGGGATCAAAAATGGGGTCGGCAGTGCATGGAATTATGGTGATGTCACACGGGTGATTTGGTGATGGGAAGCCCAAGGTGATTACAACTGAGATGGAAAAAGTCAAAAAATAAACTATTATAATAAAAAATGTTTAAGAAGAGATGTGGTGCAGCTTGTCAGAGCAGTTTGGTAGGGCACTTGTGAACGATTTAGAGTCAAATAAAATTATGGGTACAAGAAAGGAAGGAAAGTGGCTTTTCCTAGCTAAGGAGTAGCCAGAAGTAGAAATAGGGGTGAAGAGAGGATAGCTATTACAACACTGAGAAACGCTAACCAATTGATGAATTAATTGATTAGAGAAAATATTACACTATTTTTCTTTGGATAAAGGTATATTAATCCATTCCCCCCCCCCCTTAAAACACATATCTTGGTGCTGAAAGTCTCCAGAGGAAAAAGGAAACTCATTTTTCTTTTCTTTCTGTAACCTGCTTTTTTCTTCTGCCTTTTTGACTTAATGAATTAAAACATTAAACCTTATTCTCCCTAGTCCTTGTTCCAACTTACCCTAAGTAACTCTTTAATACTACTTTCCAGAATTTTTCAGACCATAGTAGGCATATTTTTTAAGATTTATTTATGTATGCATACAAAACAGGGGTACAGGCCAGAGGTGCAAGGGTGAGATGATTCACCAGAGATGGAGTGCGGAGCAGAACAGGCAGATCAACAAAAAGCACATTGCTGGGAGAAAAGGTCTGTTGTTGTGCCATGTGGGTCACCTCCTGGGACAGGGATCTAACTCAGGGATCTATCAGCCTTCTGCTAGCTTCACAGTGCTGTGCTTTAACCTTTTGCACCACCAGAGAAGGCCTGGGGAATGTTTTTTCCACTCCCTCCATCATCATTCACATATTCTTCATTCTCTACCCTGCTAATTACTATTCTACAAGAAATGAAAGAGACCTGCTAGAGCTTCCTTTTTCTCTACTTAAGGTAATTGTCAAAGATGTTGATGCCTCATCTCTCTTGAAACTTTGACTTACACAGAAATATGGATAGGGATAAGAGGCAAAAGAAAATAAAGTCATCTTTTGTTATAGGGAGCAAAAGAATATACCATGAGTACTGTCAAGTCCACAAATATTACCGAGTTCCTCGAATGTAGAAGGCACTTTGATTATTCTGGAAATAAAGTCATAAAAAAAAAAGTCTGCATGCTGAGAATGCCAAATATATGATCCAGTTCTTTCTAATGATGCAGAATGGAAAGTTGGAAGGAGGGCTTCATTTTCACAGTAAATAAAACCTCATAAAGAGAAAGCTTTTGTCTCTGCTTTTTTCCTCTACTTGAGCTTTTTGAAGTGAGGACATACCACGAGGCAGTCATCCTAATATTAAGCAAGATAGAGGGTAAGAAGCCTGTGCACTTAGCATGGTACCCTGAAGAGATAGGGAGAGATTTGGTTTTTAATGACATTGTTCAGTTGCTATAAAAGCCTGATTCAGCTGCCTACTTCTGACTTGTATCTATGACATCAAAACAATTCCTTATTGCATTAACAATAGTTAAAATTTCTGTTATTTAAAAACAAAAACATTCTTAAGGCATTCCAACAGAGTGGAGACAACTTTCAAAGATTTTCAACCCTTGTTCAGTTAGAATATTTTTGTCTAATCCTCCTTTCCCTAGAGTCTGATTGATTTGGTCTAGAGTGGAGATGGGGCACTATGCATTGATATATCTTTAAAATTTTCCAGGTGATTATACTGGGTCAAGGAAAGATTTTTGTGGGTGTGGGTTTTCTGTTAAGGTCTCAGATAACTAGAGTTCATATGTATATTATGAAGCGGATCCAATAGAATGTGAGAAACTGATATATAGGGGAAGAATATAGACAAGAAAGGAAATTAACCTTGAGAAGCAATAATTCAATGAAAAAGGATAACATTTTTCCTTTATTTTGAGTTAATGTTTACATAACAAAATTAGCCATTTTAAAGTGAACATTTCTGTGGAATTTGGTGCTTTCACAATGTTGATGCAATTACCATCTTTATCTACTTCCAAAACATGTTATCACCCAAAATGAAACATTTACCCATTGAGCAGTTACTCCTCATTCCTCTCTCTACATTCTGGCCACCTCTTGGCAACCACTAATCTCCTTTCTGTATGTGTGGATTTACCTTTCTGGATATTTCATCTAACTGGAATCCTACAATATGTGACTTTTCATATTTACAGTGGATTAATGTAAATGAAGTCATACAGTATGTGATTTTTCATTGTATGGCCTAGTTCTTCAATGGAAATGAGAATGTTTTCTATTATGACAAGAGGGAAAAATAGAGAAGATGTAATGATTTGATATTGAAAAAGGGAAATTCCTACCTGTATCAGATTGATGACTAAGAGTGAGGCAAAGTTAATGAATGAAGTGCTTTTCTAAATGTTTGGAATAATTAGGTCAGATATCATTTTCTCAAGCAGTGTTTTGATCTCCTCTTGTAGGCACTGAGAAGTGTGGAATTGGGTCTCAACAGAATTGTGGAATTTCTAGGAAATCCATGATAGGTACGAAGAGTAAAGGTTTATAAAAGGTTTATTTTAAAGGTTTATAAAAGATTGGCTATAATATGGACCTTAGAATCTATGCCATCTGGGACTTCCTGGTGGCAGACAGTGTTAAATTTCAGCACTATCAAGCTATCTCCAGCCGCCACTGAGGCATGAGTTCCATCCCCGACCAGTCCAAGGAGCTGACCCACATGGCACAGCAGAACTCTACCTGTCTCACCTGCTGCTCCCCTCAGCAGTGTATTTCAGCCCATCTGTCTGTTCTACTCCTCACTCTGTCTCTGGTGAATCCTCTCACCCCCTATACCTCTAGCCTACACCCTAGTTCTTGTATGCATAAATAAGTAAAAATAAATATTTAAGAAAAAAATAGAATTGATGCCATCTAAGGAAAAAAAGTAAGTATGTAAAGATGAATGAATACTGAGAAAACTGGGTACCTGTGTTGGAAAATTTGATGAGGTCAAAGAATTGATCTAGTGGGATTCTAAGACTATTGAAAAGGATAGGAAGTTTTGATCAAAGTTGAAAGGCTTGACGTCAATATTTTGTATATGATACTGGTATGCTGTCAACAAGGTACAGGTATAATAGGATGTTGGTAAGAAAAGACCAGTGGAGGTTATGCATCTCTGCCTCTTGCAACAACTTTTGTTCTGTATTATTGTTTCAAGGATGTTTATATGACAAATGACCTTTCAAGACAGATACAGTATCTCTCTCTCTCTGGTGTGGTGGCTATATTTGTTTCTTGACTATTCTAAAGATCATTTCCTCCTATGGGGTAAGGTTTGTATATTTCTAAAGCTCAAGTTTCTTCCACTCTGATATAAAGCCAATGTGTGTGCAGTGTCTATTTGGGGTGCATTGGCATTGGCCCCATTAGACTTGGGAGAAGCGGGTAGAAGCAGTAAGAATATAAAGCTTATGACACCTGCAATGTAATGAGTGGTAAGGTCCTTGTCTCTAATCCAGCAGTCTGATGTCTTCTATCACCATGTATGAAACTGTGGGAGATTAATTTGTTAAGGTTACAAAGAGGGTAAAATCTCACATCTTTCGTAGTTCTTGACACCAGAGTTTTGGGAGAGTCATTCACAATAGTCACCCACAGACAACTTTAGGTAGACAGGTAAGGAGGGGTAGTGGTGTAATGTTCTGAAGTAATAAAACACCATGAATGTGGACTTTTTTTAAATAGAAGGCTGAGAATCTGGCATGTATCAATGCAAAATTATAATGATGTACACTTGAAAATTCTGTGTTATAAAGCAATACTAAAGTAAATTTTTTAAGGGAAAAGGAGCAGAGCTGTTTTTGAAGTAGCAATAAAAATCAGAAGAGACACCTATTCCCTTCTGACATGGCATGTAATCATGTGATAGACAAAATTTTTACGTGAGCGCTAAGGGTGGCTTAACATATAAGGTTCAATCCATATAATATACCCTATTAATACAACAAAGGAAAAATACCCACATGATCTTAATAGTTAGAAAAAGCAGCTGATAAAGTTAATACTCTTTTGATGATTAAACAGTCAGCAAAAAGGAATAAAAGAAAATGTCCTTAACATGATTAAGTACAGGTTTATAAAGAAATCCACAGATAACATCACATTCAATGAAGAAAGACTGAAAGCTTCCCCAAAAAAATTGGGAACAAGACAAGAATGCTGATCTTAACATTGTTATTCATTATTATGGAAATCCTAGAGAGATTGATAATGCAAAAATTAATTAAAGTCATCTAAATGGAATGGAAGAAATAAAACTAGTTGCAAATGACATGATTCTATATATAGGAAAAATGTTTTAAATCCATGACAAAGTGTGTGAGTTCAGTAGAGTTCCAGGTTACAAAATCAATAATACAACATACAAAAATCAGTTGTTTCTATACATTAGCAATAAATATGAAAAGAAAAACATTTATTTACTATAGCACCCTAAAAAATAAAACACTTAGTAATAAATTTAACCAAGAAGACAAAAGATGTGCACCCTAAAATATACCAAAAAAATGCTGAAAATAATTATTTAATTAAATTGAAACTCATTATTTTTTAAAAAAATATTTATTTATGCATACAAGAACTGGGGTACAGGCCAGAGATATAGGGGGTGAGAGGATTCACCAGAGACAGAATGGGGAGCAGAACAGGTAGATTAGCTGAAATTACACTGCTAAGGGAAGCAGTTGTCTGGTCAGCATGTGAGTCCTCTCCCTGGCCAGGGATAAAACTTGTGCTGCAGTGGCTGCAGATAGCTTCTTAGTGCTGTGCTTTAACCTGTTGTAACTTGAAACTCTTAAGATTATACTACTCTCCAAAATGATCTACAGATTCAATGCAATCAAATCAAACTTTCAATGGATTTTCTTGAATACACTGAAAAGCTGATCCTAAAGTTCATATGGAATTGAAAATGATTCCAAACAGTCAGGATAATATTGAAAAACAAAGCTGGAGGGCTCATACATTCCGATTTCAAAACTTAGTACAAAGCTACAATAATCAATAGTGAGGTATGGCATAAGGATAGACAGACCAGTGGAACAGAGAGACCGGAAAAACTCCAAATACTTAACAAGGGTGTCAAGATCATTCAGTAGAGACAGAATAGTCTCCAATAAATGATGCGGGGACATCTGGATAACAATATTCAAAAAGCACAAATTTAGGTGTCTACTTTAATTCATGTATAAAAAATTAAACCACTGCAAAAATAAAGGGTTGCTTACAAGTCTCCTTTCAAGTTAGGCATGAAAGGGATGCTTGATTATTACCTGGGAACAATAGGTATACCTCCTGAGGTAGGATGGGGAACACCTGGTGGGGGGGGGCAGTAGGAGTGGGTAGTTACTGATGTGCTTTGTGTCCAGGGACTGATCAGTAGCACATCTTGTTAATAAGATTGAAGCCATGGTGAGGATTGGAATACATCGATGGACTTACTCTCCCTAAAATCCAAAAATCAGTATTCAGTTTGATCTGCCCTTTTCTCTGTCAATAAAAAGACCAGGGTCTTGCTTTTGAGCAGCATCCTGCATCCTATAATCTGATCTGTGACTTCTGTTTCTTTTCTTTATTGCTGCGGTGATGCTGACACAACATAGGGGTGAATCTTCATTACCTTGGACTTGACAAGTGATTCTTAGTTTAACACCAAAGGCATAATCAAAAAAAGAATAAACTGATACATAAGGCTTAATCAAAATTAATGTTTTATGCAGTAAATGCTATCCATTATTAAAAAATGAAGACACAAAATCAGATAAAATGTTTTCAGATCATATAATTGATGAGTATAGTATTCAGACTATATAAAGAATGTCTTGTAAACTCAATAACAAGAAGGCAGAGGACCCAATTAATAAATGAGCCATTGGGGCCCTTCGTGATGGTGCAGTGGGTTAAAGCACAGCACTAAGAAGCTAAAGCCACTTCAGCATGAGTTTGATTCCCAGCCCTGGAAATGACCCACATGGCACGGCAGACCTCTCCTGACCTGCTCCCTGCTCCCCTCAGCAGTGTATTTCATCAGTTGGCCTGTTCTATTCCCCACTCTGTCTCTGGTGATTCCTCTCACTGCCCCTGCACCTCTGGCCTGTACCCCAATTCAGTATGCAGAAATAAATCTTAAAAAAAAATAAAAGAGCCATCAACATTATACCTTTATCTGATGCAATCTACAAGAGGGCAGTAAGAAAATAGCCAACTTCATTGGTCCTCTCATCTCTGTACCTCTGGCCTACATCACAATTCTTGTATGCATAAATAAATAAAAATAACTTAAAAATGGAAGGATTGCTTGGCAATAAAATATTCAAGCTATTTGGTTATGTGAGAAATACAAAAAAAAAAGGATTGCTGTATTTCTTAAAATAATCTAGGAAAGGTAAAATTTTACTTACAAGATGGTAATATCTCCTCCATTAAGTAATGTATAGGAAAATTAAGTGGTACATTGTCAACAAGTATGAAAGTGCTACTTAAAAAATGTTTAATGAGTTCATAATGTATGTAGAATTTAGTTGTGTGCCTTGGGATTTAATGGTTGTGACTATGGTTTTAAATTTTAGAACATTGTCTACTTATGCATAAAAATAATTTGGGAAATCTAATTCTTTTCATTTCTGTGTGACAGAATTTGGTCTATGGTTAATGTTTAAATTTGAAATTCCACTGCCATTAGAAGAGGGAATCCTGGAATTGAATTCCAGCTATACTGTTAACTAATGGTTGATCTTTGGAGACTGTTTCCTCACTGGAAAGTAGAATGTTTTCTAAGATCTCTGACATTGGATTCTAGGGTTTAGTATATAATAAGTTCTCAATGTGTGCTGATTGAACAGTGATGCTCTATTGAACTCAAAACCTCATTTTAATTAAAGATTCAAAAGCTTTTATTCTAATTTTAGCAAAAAATCCTTAAAACCATTTTTTCAAAGTTACTAATTTTATTTTACTTTTTAAAAGATGTATTTATTCATGCGTACAAGAATTGGGGTATAGACCAGATGCTGGGGGTGAGGGGCAAGAGGTTTCACCAGAGACAGAGTGGGGAGCAGCAGGCAGGACAGGTGTGCCACACTATGTCAGTCAGCTTACTGACTGGGGATCAAACTCTCACTGAAGTGTCTGTGAATAGCTTCATAGTGCTGTACTTTAGCCAGTAGTTCCACCAGGGAGGGCCCAAAGTTACTAATTTTAAATTTCTTTTTAAAAAATATTTATTTATTTATGTATATAGAAATGGGGTACAGGTCAGAAGTACAGGGGGTAAGAGGCTTCACTAGAGACAGAGTAGGGAGCAGAACAAGTAGAATGATGAAGGGAGCAGGTCAGGAGAGGTCTGCCACACCCTGTGGGTCATCTCCCAGGTGGGGATCAAACTCATGCTGAAGTGGCTTTAGCTTCTTAGTGCTGCTCTTTAACCCCCTGCACTTTAACCCACTGTGCCAAAAGGGAGGGCTAGATATCACTATTAACTTCTAATAGCCGATGTATTCTGTGCTTTCAATGTATTCTGTGGTAACCATATCGAAAATTGCTGACATTCAAGATTTTGACCTTCAAAAGTGGCAATTTTATGTGGTTCAAACTAAAGATATTTAATATTAAATACTGTGCTTAAGATATGACAATAAAGTTTCCCATTCTCTTTTTAATTATCTCCTGCCTGTCAGGGATGTGGCAGATATTTATTTACTTAAACTTTAAACTTGTGTCTCTCCTACATAACATTTATAACTCATTGTTTAAAAATAGTATAATTAATACCTTTGTTTTGACAACAAACAAGGGGCTACTGTGAGTAACTAGATGTTTTACATAGAGAATTTACTGGTTGTTCTTTAACATACTTTGATTTTTAAGGTTAGCAGTTCACCACCTAAGCTTTCATAACAATCATCACAGAAGTACTTTAAAGCATTTAAAGCATAGGTTTCTGAGCTCCATATTCAAAGATTCTGCTTCAGTAAGTTGGCTGAAGCCTTGAACTTGCCTTCCAAACTTGTACATCATGCTGAAGCTGCTGGGTATTAAGAAGAAGATACCCTGACCTAAATTATTATTTTCAATAACATTTTTTTTGTAATAACAATAACTTGTAATACTACTAACTTTTGTCTTTCAGTAAGTAAAACTCAAGTTGATGAAGTATGGGATAAATTCCCTTAAACCAAACCATGTCTTACAAAAAGTACTGCATTATCTTAATTATAAGAGCACTGTACGCTGTATTGACTTTTGACTTCGTAGTCACAGGACACACTTTCAGGACAAGTAACTCCGAGGTATTTATTCAGTTTTGAAGGGTTGCACTATGCTCTGGCTTGCCTTGAGGTCAAGGGTCACGGCAGCCCAGCCGCTGGCGCTCAGAGCAGGGTCAACTCTTTTCTTGCATTATCAGAGGCAGAGCGGCCAGCTCCACAGACTGCTTGAGGCTCCCGATAGGGAAGCCAGCGGGCGACAACCTAGGAGATCAAACCCAAATCCGACCCGCCGCGGTCCCAACCCCACTCGACCCGGGTGTCTTCCCCCCCCCCCCCCCGGAGCCCAAGGAGCCAAACGGAGAGGGAGCCCCAGAAGAAGTGCAGCGTCCGGTTAGCAGCCGCCCCAACTCTCCAGCCGAGTCTACGCTCTGACCCAACGCCTCCACCCAGTCGCCGGCCCAAAAACCTAGCCCCGGGCCTCTCACTCAAGAGCGGCTCCCCGCCGGCCGCCAGCCCCATTCATCTCAGCCCCACGTCGTCCTCGGCCGGCGAAGATGTCCGCCAAGCCCCAAGTCAGCTTCGCGAGCGAGGCTTCTCGGCAGATCCTGGCCGGTGGTTCCGCGGGTAAGGCCGCCCCGCTAGGGGCTCGTTACTTTTCCTTTCACCTGTTTGGGAAACTTTTCTCAGACAAGTTTCCCAACTGACGTCTTGCTGCCCTCCGGAAATCCGCACACAGAGCGCTGAGCCTGAGCCCACGCGCGAGAGCCCGCGGACAGGAGCGGGCGGCGCGGGTTCTGGCGCGGGTGCGGGTGCCGCTAGCTAAAGTGGCCGCGGCGCCCGCGCCGCCGCTCTCGGGTTCCAGGGCTTCTCTGTTCCTAGCCTCAGAAGCAGGGTAGGCAGCCTCAAGGCCTGCAACTTTGAGAAGGCCGGTTTGCCTGTTGTATTTGGCTATTGTATGTGAAAATGGTCCAGTTTCCGCAAGAAGGAGTGTTGCTATCTCTTGCCTCTTGTGAGTAGGCGCCCATCTTCCCTAACAACAGGGTGCGCTGTAAACTGGGTGCTTCAGGCTCCACAGGTCTTAGTGAGTGGGGTGCTTGCCTGGGCTGTTGGCACCTTAAATGGGTACATTAAAAGTAAACGGGTATGTTAATGAGGATAAACACTTTTGGTTTGGTTTTCAAGGATAGGTTCACATAAATTCATGGAGAGTTACGCTGTTAGAAAACACCTTTAGAAAAAAAATCTTGTTCTAAAATAGCTACTCTCTGATATAATTACTAAGGGCGACTAGAGGGTTATTCACTCTTGAGATTATGTTATATGAATATATTTTGAAATATCCATTAGGAGTTGACTGAATAATCTTACATACTGTGATTCAGTTTTAATATAAATGTCAGATATTTGTCATCATTTATTCATCATCATAAAACAGTTCTATAAATGAAGATATTCACTCACTATTATGGCAATGCTATTAAATCATATTAAGACAATGACTAGTTAAATTGACTAGCAAAAGTTATTTTCAAACAAATTGGACTTTTTATAACGGGTTACTGTACGTATTCTATTTGGCACAGATATTTGTACCTCATGGGGGAACCCTGTCACATATATCACTTATTACCTGTATACTTTCTAAAGATGATATTTCCTTAAATGGCATAAATCTGGGCATTAATTTCTTACATGTGATTGTGCTGTCTGTGTATATTATGATGATGTCAGTGGCCCCACTCTCTACCATTTAGTTATTTTCCAGTAGTGATGATGAATTTACACCACTTTATTTACCATTTTGGTCAAATTGCACACTATCTCAGACCCTTTCACCTGTCCCTGAGTCTATTTCTCAGAACATGAGCCTGATCAAAGAAAACTCAGTGGTCCCAACAGGGAAGTAAGGATAATTGGTGAACCTATGAAAAATGATGCATAAGCATCTTTATATTGGATTAGAAGATCATGCTGTATAGTAGATAAAAATAAACTCAAGAGGTATTAAAATGGATCTCATACAGGTGAGAGAGACTTAGGTTTGCGCTCAGTAATAGCAGGACTGAGGGTATGTTTGGTATGGTTGTCTGCAATAATGTCTTCAATAATTGCATGTGTTTTAGAAATGTCACATTTCTAACTCTAATTTTGTATATTCTGTTTTGTTAATTGGCACTTGGCCAGAAATAATACTTGATTCCATCATGGATTTTTACAATTGTAACTAATATGAAGGCAAATTAGTACATTTGTAAGGTAAGTTAAATATAGTAGTGTAGGTGACTTATGTAACTGTTATGGAATGATTGATCAATGATGGGAATAATTTTTTTCAAAGATTTATTTTGATTTATGTATGCACACAAGAATTGGGGTATAGGCCAGAAGTGCAGAGGTGCAGAGTGAGAGAAGATTCAACAGAGACAGATTGGGGAGCAGAACAGGCAGAGCTACTGAAATACCTGCTGAGGGGAGCAGCAGGGGAGACAGGAGGGGTGTGCTACACCATGTTAGTTGGCTTGCTGGCCAGGGATAGAGCTCATGCCTCTGTGGCAGGAGATAGCTAGATAGGGCTGAGACTTTAACCCTTGTACCACCAGGGAGACCCAATGATGAGAATAATTTTTACTTTCCTCATAGTGAAATCATATTTTCTTCCACTTTTTCTATTTTTATAAAACCTTGTATTTATCGGACTTTAGTAAGTTCAGGCTAATCATACTATATTTATCAGGTCAAAGGTAAAAAAAGAATCAGTAATCAAGAGAGGTAGAATTTTAATAAGCATAGAAAATACATTCAAATTGAACTGGGGTTTTAACTACTGATACCATCATCTAATGCAATATCTGTGTATGCATTTGGTGGTAAACTTTCTTAAAGAAAAAAAAAATCAGTTTTTTTTTTTTTTTGAGCAACCCCAAGGTTTGGGATGCATTCCTGGAACAGACTGGAATGGGGGTTGGAGTCTGAGAGGAACTCAGGGAGTTAAGATGTTCCATCTCTTACTTCTCTGTCAGTGGCTAAGCATTCCCAAGGCAGCAAGACTGTGTTTTATAAGTATTTCTGGTACAACAGTTGGGATGGCTTATTGTAACTTCCATAATCTGATAAGGATTAAAATCACTCAAATGGATTCAGACAGTTAATTACTACATAGTCACCAAGAATCAAGACTGTGTTAGTTCCCTTTGTTCCTTGTTCCACAGACATCAAACTGAAGCCAGAAGATAGACCACATGAGCAGTGAGTCCCTGTGTTGCTGTAGAGCAACTTCAGAACCAGCCAAACAGTTTTATGGATTTATACTGAAGTCTATAAATGTATCCTCAATGGGAGTGAGATGGAAATTACTGTTCTTAACAGAAACTACAGAGATGGACAAGAAATGGCCTTGTGGAAATCTTCCACAAGCTAATCGGAAAGAAACTGCCTCTCTGTAGCGACTTGCCAGGCTGCTTATCTGCTCTTAGGCTAGGAGAAAACGCAGGGCATTCTGCCAAGACACAGGTCTTGTTTGTGTGGAGATGTGCAAGGTTGTCAGCGTGCCACATTGTAGAGCTCTCCATCTGTCTTATCAGCCTTCTCTCTCACAGTTGACTGCTGTTTCCTGCTTGTCAGTACATGAGACAGAATGTAGTCCCCAATTGCTCCTGAGTTTACATGTACTTGGATTCTGTTCTTTAGAGAGAACATGAAAGAGAGCAAGGAATTCACTTCTTTTTATTCAGTTTTAGTGTAAAATTCTACAGAAAGAAAAAATAACCCAGCATTGGTCATGGACCCACCTCTGTATCAATTCACTGTAGACAGTGCCCATGTGGATGGAGAGGGTCAGAGAGAGGAATTTCAGAGGATGTTATGTTCCAATAAGAGATGGGTAATAGGTGTTTTCTGAAATGCTAGAGTTATGTTCATTAATTAAAATACAGTTTGCAATATTTGCATGGAAAACACCAAAGAGAAGGTGTACCTTCAGTTGGTTGGGCAATATACATCTTAAGGTTGGCCTTCAGTTTGTATCTGTAGATATCATATATAGATATTGTTATCAGTGGCAACTTTGTCTTAATGGTGAAGGCTGTGCTCAAGACAAGTCAATGTGTACTGGAATTTTACTGAGTAGGCCTCTAGCTTGTGTTCTCAGCTTCAAGTAATAACACTTGAAGTAATAAGATTCAGGTGAGACAGATAACAAACACAATGCTGACAAAAAAAGAACAAGAATTGAGTCACCATACTTTCAGACTTCAAACTGTACTGTAAAGCCATAATTATGAAAGTAGCATGGTACTGGAACAAAAACAGACACAGATCCAATGAAATAGAATTGAGAGCTCAAAAATCAACAGACACCCTTAAAAGAGGAGGAAATTATCCCAAAGAGCCAAGAACACACATTGGAATAAGGAAAACGTCTTCAATATAAGTGATATTGGGGAAACTGGACAGTCATGTGGGAAACACTCTGCACACACACACACATACAAACAAACAAATCAAGATGACTGAAAAACTTGGATGAAAGATTGGAAACTATAAAACACACAGAAGAAAAAACATAGGCAAAAACTTTACAGCACAAGCTTCAGTGGTGCCTGTTTGGATTCACCTCCAAAATCAAAGAAAACAAACAGAGAATATAAATAACTGGGGCTATATTAAGCTAAAAAGCTCCTGCACAGTGAAAAAGAAAACATACCCAAAGTGAAATAATACTCTACTGAATAGGAGAACATATTTACACACCATACATGCGACAAGGGAGCGATAAGTAAGATCTTCAAAGAACCCATCCAATTCAACAAAAGGAAAAGAACACAGTCAAAAAAAGGGGCAGAAGAATTAAAAGGGCACTTCTCCAAAGAAGGCATACAGATAGCAAAAAAGCACATGAACAAATGTACACCATTTTACCATCAGGGAAAAGCAAATCAGGACATTCTTACCCAGGTGAGAATAGCACAGATCAAAAAGATCAGAAACAATAAATAATGGCAAGGATGTGTAGAAATGGAACCCTATTACACATGGTGTAATAGGGCCAGACTGGGCCAGCCTCTACGGAAAAGAGTATGGAGGTTTCTCTAAAGATTAAAAATAAATCTGCCGTATAATTCAGTTACTTACTCCTAGGTATCAACCCGAAGTATTAATAAACAGTAATTTGAAAGGAAACTTGCACTCCTGTGTTCATTGCAGCACTGTTTACAATAGCCAGACTATGGAAGCAACCTAAATGCTCAAAAACAGATAAATGGATTGTAAGATCCATTACTATATTGTAATATTATAATATAGTGTAATATACTGTAAGATGTGATGTATATATATATATGTATATATATATAATATTACTGAGCAATCAAAAATGATAAACTTTTACCATTTGTGGCAACATGGAGGGAACCGAAGGGAGTATGCTAAACAAAATAGGTCAGAAGGAGAAAGACAATGCCAGATGGTATCACTTATATGTGGAATATAGAGAAACCAAACAGCTTCAAATAAAGACTAGCTTAAAAACTAACACTTGAAAGCTGACTGTAGGACTGGAGTGTCCAGAGTGGGAGGGATGAGAATAAGCTGGGGAGGCATGTAGTGGACTGTGGTGGCGGTGATTC